CTCAGGAAGACAGAATGACAGAGGTATCAGGTTTGACAAAGAGAGCTTTTATAAAGAGCCCAGAGCTGTCTGGTAAGAGACATTTTCCCAGCAAAAACACAAATTCCTAGGAGAGAACTCTATACAGCTGTGTCCTGCTAACCTTTTGTGCCCCAGATGACAGAGTATAAAGGGCAATTTATTTTCAGTCTAGCTCACTCTTACTTCCCCAAATGTAGTCCTGGGGAAGAATTTCAATTCAAGTTCAACAGCAATTTGACCCTGAAGAGCTGCAAGTCAAAACTTCCACAGAGCAAAAGTAAGGAACAGATGGTGTTGATGAATTACCCATGGGTTTGCTCACAAGTGGTTTGCAAGTATCAAGGCAATCATAACATATAGAACCCAGGTAGAAAAGAAGTTGCTCAACATTTCTTTTATGATTATGAAAGTATCCTAAAACTTTTTGTGATGATAGTTGTACAACTCTGTGAATACAACAAAAACCATTAAATTTTGTACCTTCAATGGGTGAATTGTGTTGTATGTTAATAATCTAACAATAACAATACTGTTACATGAAAAACAAAGATGAATTCAAGATTATAAGGAAAGTGGAGAGAATACACATGCCCAAACTACTCTCACCCTAGAATAGGGAGAATATGTGTTTTAAATAAAGATTAAATCAATAATATATAATAAATCAAGAGTATAATTAATGATTTATAAATTTAGAAAATTCATGAATGATAGAATAAATTGTTCACCAGGCCTCTTTTTGAACTGAAACATACTTTGTTGCATTATTTGCTATTGCTGCATAAAAACTAGCACAAATTAATGACCTAACACAAGACATTCATTATCTCACATTTCAGTAAGTGCACAACATAAACAGAATCTCTGTCCAGGATTTCACCAGCCTAAAATCAAAGCTTCATGCAGGACTGTGTTCTCATCTGGAGTTCAGGGTCCTCATCCAGACTCCTTCACATAGTTGGCAGAATTGAGCACCTTGTGGTATAGGACTGAGGTCTCTGTCTTCTTGCTGATGTGAGCTGAGGGTTGGTATTAGCTTCCAGCTGTTTGGACCTGTCTGCAAAAGGACATTTTGCATCTTCTAATCCAGCAGAGGAATCATCTGTTGTTTCTTATCTTTTTTAAATGCTCAAATAATTAGCATATTCTCCCTTATGATGAACTCAGAAGCAAATAATCAGGGTACCTCATTTACATCTGTAAACTCCCTTTGCTGGACAATGTAACATAATCACAGATGCAATACCCCATGACATTCATAGGTCCACTCACATTCCAAGGGGTGGACTAGCATTTGGGGGTCAGGAACCTTGAGTGATCTCTTAGAATTCTCCTTACACAACTATCTAGATCATTCAATTTCCAAACTTACACAAGTTCACATCTTACCTGGCCTTTGATTGACTTTTCTTATTCTCTAGTTCCATCACCTCCATTTTAAAATAAAACTCCCATTGGTTTTTGAAGAACCTACAGTATTCTCATAAGTAATTCCCCTGTCCTTAGTTGCAAGTGTTTACAAATTCTCCAAATTGATGCAAATGGGATCTCAAAAATACATCTTCACATCAGTTCTCACCCAGAACCAGCTCTTTGCTGCCTTTAGCACGAAGTTGAAACTCTATCTTTTCACCACAGCAGCCAAGGATCTTCCCAATATCACCAAAACATACTCTTGCTGCTATCTAACCTCTTCCCAACCCCAGAAACATTTTTATACAGTCAACCTGGGTTTTTCCTATTCACTAAACTACCAAATGCAGCAGGTTCTCTCTCACTGCTATGCTTTCCTTAATTCATGTACTTCCCACTCTTCTTTGAATGAGCTAAATTCTTCAGGCTCATTATTTGCTCCATTGACCCATTTATAAATTTAACATTAATTTAGTTACTTTAGGAAGATTTTGTGATATCATTTTCTCCACATCAAGTCTGAAGAATTTACTACTTCTTCTGGAGAAACATCTGTTTGTACTTGTACATTGGAATAGTTGTTATTTCATTCTATAATCGTAAGTTCTTTGAAAAAAAGACTCTCTAACTAAAATAAGCTATGGGCAGGTGGATCATTGCTAATTCATCATTATAATCCAAATACCTTGCATTCTTTTCTGTATAATGCAGGATAACAATATATACTTGATGTAAATTAAATTAAAGAGTTTTGAATCAAGGATTCTGAAAATATATCAGGACCTAAACACATTCTTGTTTTGCCTATTTCAATTATGCTATGTTTCCTGAAATCACACATGTGGTTATTGGCCTTATCTTACTGAGCTCTACCTCCTTCCCACAGAGTAATTTGTATTTGTGCCTCTGTCTGTGTGTATATATGGTTCTTTTGTTGTTTTTTGATGGAAGACTCTGTTCTTTTATTGTAAATGTTTATGTTTTCCCTCCCCCATTTATTGATAGTAAGTCTCTCCTTTTGTAAATTAACACTCCAAACCCACTGTGAAAGCATGCTGCTAGATCTATGGAGAGCTACCATGAGTTATATCTCTCCGTGATTACAGAGTCAGCTATATATTGATAGGGTCAGGCAAGCCTAAATTCAACTGCTAGAACTGTCACCAACTAGCTGAGGTTCTCCAAATAACAACTTTACATCAGATTCCACTTCTGTGAAATTAGTAGCTCATTTGTAAAGCATCTAATATACTATCACATTTAATAGTAGGAAGCATTTAATCATAGGAAGTGAGAATGAGGATAACGGTGGTGGTGGTGGTGGTGGTGGTGGTGGTGGTGGTGGTGGTGGTTGGTAGCAGTACAAACAGCTGGCCTTAGGGGACAGTTTTGAAATGTAACTCAACCCAAAACTCTCATTTCACCAATTTTATGGGCACTAACAACCTGCTCCAAGCAGCAAAACATATGCCCCATGGATTAACTGAACCCCATGGGTTAGAAGAAAATGTACCCACAAATACAGATTGTAGGAAAGAGCTTTTTGCAATTAATAAATCTCCCTCATTCTTATAGAAATCCAGTATATGCCATCTGATTTTTCCCTGAGTGCAGTATTTTTACTTATAAAGTATGGAGATGTGGTATTCCTAGCCTCATTTCCAGGAAAGAGCTTGAGGAGCCAGGGAGATGTTTTACTCACCAGTAGATGTCATATATAAGGAGCCATGACTCAGGCTGCACGAAATCTATTAATCAGAAAACTCCTGGTGTTCGTCTTTGTGACCCCCGAGTGTGAAGCTTCCCAAGGTTTCATTCTCCCTCACAACTTCCTTCCATTCTGTTCATTACACTTACTTTTGCAGGGACTGATTTATAGTTCCATATATATATATGGAAATATATATATATATAGTTCCTTGATTGTAAGTCTTGATAAGATTTTCTTAAAAGTAAGTTTGTGAGGATAAAATTTGAAACAAGAACACCTGCTCTGTGCACGGGCTCACTCCTGATCCCCACGCTACTCCCCAACCCAGCTGATAAATGTATCCTCCAGCATCATGTGGATGAATTTTGTACTCTCTTTAGAAAACTTTTCATTGCTTCCAAGAACAAATAAATAAATAAAAGCTTCATTAATTCTCTCACAAACACTTTATCTACCACATTCCAGAGTTTTTCACTGGTGATACAGAGAATAGAACGAAGTCGCTTTTTCTTAAATGTTTAAAACCCAGTAAAGAAACAGACATAAAACTCAGTGATTACAATAGGGCATGTTTATGATGAGCACAATAAAGCAGGTTTTCATCCTGCAGGAAGATCAGCCCAGGTCTGTCAGGAGACAAGAGTGCACAAAGCATAGAAAGAACAGAGGTGACTAATAACATGTTCCAAACACCTGGAACCCTGGGTTGAAGTCAGGAGCAAGTGAGGAAGCTAAACTGGGAGGCAGGACCCACATCATGGAGGTCCTGGCATTCTGAAGCATTTGAATCTAAATAACATAATAGAAATAGCTCAGCTAAGAGTTTAATCCTTCTTCTCTCTTAGAAAAACAGATTTCTACAGCTTCTTTTGAAATAACTGTGGAAGTCAAATACCTTATTTGAGGCTCCAAAATATATTGCAGTTCCCTGTTTAATGTCAATATCAACCTGAATGGTGAGACTATCAAAATTTCCCTCTAAGCCACAGTACATCCATTATGCAGAACTATTAATTTAGGAAATATTTGCAAACAATTTCAATGTTCTCAAAACATTTTAGCAGACTCTTCATCACTTACTCTTCCAAATTTTATATCAGATTAATCAGATTTATTATCAGCATTCACTCCAACAGCCTTGAGTGAGCATTGTTACAACAGGTCTATTAAAGCAAAATTTATGAAAACCTATAGACCTCTCACAGTTGGCTCTTCTTTTTTTAATTCAAGTGCCTCAGAAATGGCTATTTGAGGAAAACACACACACACACACACACACACACACACACACACACACACAATTGCCAGCCACAAAACTAGATAAAGAGCCAGGTTATCCCCTAAAGAGACCTAATGGACTCTTTTTGGATTAGCAAGTAACTTTTCTACTCACATTTATTCTTGTTTATTATACTTACTCATGTTCTTCAGCCATGGATAATCTGTTTTGGAGAAATAATAATCATTACCAATTAACTGTTAAGAATTACTGAAACCTAGACTTTCCTACTGATCTAAATTATATCAGATATCCCTTGAATAGCTACATACTCTAGAGGTGATGAGAGTCTCTAGACCCCAAAGCATGACTTCATCCATCCAGGCTTGTAAACATATTTTAGCCATGAGCCTATTCTGTGCCCAGTGAAGTATCTGTGGAAGCACCAGAAGTCCACAAGACCCAGTCCTTGCTCTCAGTGGATTTACTGTGTAAGTAGCAGGTTACTAGTTCATCAGAATAGAGTGAAAGTATGAATAAACATGCTTTTTCAAGGTATAGTTGTAACTTACACTGGTAGATAATAAAATATGAGTTAGAGGAGACTTTATAAAGATATAGTATTCTAAAAATTTCCTAAATTAGTTTAGAAAGAAATATTTTGAGCACAACCTTGCGAATTTGCTTGGTCTTTACACTGTAGATTATGGGATTCATTACAGGAGGGATAAGCAGATAAACATTGGCAATGAGAGTATGCACAATGGGAGGGGCATGCTTCCCAAATCTATGCACCAGTGACAAGCTGATCATGGGAATGTAGAAAATGGCAACAGCACTTATGTGTGAGATGCAGGTTCCAAAAGCCTTTTTCCGCTCCTCTGGGGAGGCAATGCTGAGCACAGAGTGGATAATTAGAATGTAAGAGAGAAGGATCAGGACAGAGTCCAAGCCAGCAGTAGAGATGACGATAGCCAGGCCAAATGCACTGTTGATCTTAGTGTCTGTGCATGAAAGCTTCATCACATCTGGGTGGAAACAATATGAATGGTGCAGGACATGACTACAGCAGAAGGACAGCCGTTTAAGGAGCAGAAGTAAAGGCACTAGAGCTGTTGTTCCCCTAATAACTATCACAAAGCCCATTTTCATGATCCTTGAATTGGTTAAGATTGTGGCATATCTCAGTGGGTTAGAGATGGCAGTGAAGCGGTCAAAGGCCATTGCCAGGAGTACTGAGGACTCCATGAATGTAAAACCATGAATAAAGAACATTTGGCCAATGCAGGCATTAAAGCTGATTCCTTGAGCATTAAACCAGAAAATACCGAGCACGGTGACCAATGTGGAAAGGCACAGTCCGAGGTCCGTGAAGGATAGCATGGAGAGGAAATAGTACATGGGTTCATGAAGGTTTGCCTCAGTGATGATGACAAATAATATCATGCTATTCCCAGAGATGGCAATTGCATAGAGACAACAGAATGGGATGGATATCCAAGCATGGTAAGTTTCAAAACCAGGGATGCCAGTAAGAAAGAAAACTGCAGGGTGGAAGATGCTCTGATTGAAGGATGGCATGATAAGTGAAAGAAGTAGATTACTCTAGGAGGAAAAAAGGATATCCATAAAAACAGGGAAGAAAATATTTGCCACTCTCTTCTATATATCAAATAATTTAGGATCACTAATGGACTTCATCCCATTCTTCAGTAGAAGTGTATACCCAGTTATTCCTTTCTTAGCTTTGAAGTTGATCTTGGGTGAACTAGAGGAAGGGACAGAGCACTGTAGAAGACATATGGATTTTAGCAAGACTTCCACATGTAATATCGAGGCTCAGTACATATACATATAAAATAGGAGGTTAGATAGATAATAGCAGTATATTTTTTAGTTTTATAATTCTATGATCATGGAGAGATGAGATATTTTCTGGGCAACCAAATGACAACACACAATACAATTAATCCCGCTTTTCTTCACTTCTCAGTTTCCAAGGCAAAAACCCTTAAGAGTACATTAAAATTTATAGGTTCTTTTTTAAGTATATATTATTGATTATGTTATTACAGATGTCCCACTTTTCTCCTCTTTATTCCCCTCCATCTTGCATCCCCCTCCCTACAGCATTTACCCTGCTTAGTTCATATCCATGGGTCATACATATAAGTTCCTTAACTTCTCCATTTCCTATACTATTCTTAACCTCGCCCTGTCTATTTTCTACCTACCATTTATGCTTCTTATTCCTTGTACCTTTTCCCCCACTCTCTTCCCTCCCCCTCCCCACTGATAACCCTCCATGTGATCTCCATTTCTGTGATCATATTCCTGTTCTAATTGTTTGCTTAGTTTGTTTTTGTTTTTGTTTTGTTTTTTTAGGTTCAGTTGTTGATAGTTGCAACTTTGTTGTCATTTTACTGTTCATAGTTTTGACCTTCTTTTTCTTAGATAAGTTCCTTTGAGATTTCATATAATAAGGGCTTGGTGATAATGAACTCCGTTAACTTGACCTTATCTGGGAAGCATTTTAACTGCTCTTCCATTCTAAATGATAGCTTTGCTGGATATAGTAATCTTGAATGTAGGTCTTTGCTTTTCATGACTTTGAATACTCCTTTCCATGCTGGAACCCTGTGTTGCACAGTCTGTCTTGCTCCTCAGTTCTTTCCCGTTTATCCACATGCAAATGCAGGACCGCCCAGTCTGCCAGCCACTACCTCACCTTTCATCTTTGCCCCAACTGCCCAACTCTGCCCCTCCTACCCACTTGGATGAATATTTCTTCTTAAACACCTTCGTTGTCAGACTTCCATACAGTTTGATTTTCTGGCAGTTCTGGGTGTTTTTGTTTTTAATTTGTCATTGTCTTTCTTTTTGTTGTGCAAGGAGGCAAAGTATATGTACCTAGGCTTCTATCTTGGCCATAAGTCCAAGATATATAAGTTCTTGTGTACCCAATACTGAAATAAGATAACAAAGATAATATTAAATATTCATCAGTAAATTCAATCAGAAAAACACTTATGATTGAACAAATATGAAACAGCTATTGATAAAATCTAAATATCAGGAAAAAACAGTTAAAATTGTGCAAATAGACCACAGTGAGTGATAGATATTAAAATGTTTATACAGGCAGTAACTTGAACCTAATATTATTTATGGAAAATTCTCCCTAAAGACAGATATCCTAAAGGTAACTTCAACAGTAACAGTGCAATTCAATGGAAGCTCTCAGACATTAATTGGATAATTAATATCTCAAAAGTTTGAATTTCCATCTTTGCCAAAGGGCATTGAAAATGTATTGGGGCAGTGAGTTCCCTAAGAAACCATTACTGATGCTGGATTCACCTCTATTTACATGAAGGATGATAAATATGAATCATCTTCTCTGTTTGAGGGTATAAGCATGCATTTACCCAGCTCAATAATTCTATAGAATCAAAGAAGTTCCTCTATATTGATTCTTGTACTCATTTTTCTGATACTCTACTTTTATCTTTGGAAGGAATGTATGATTTCTAAGGTCTGGGTTCCTCTTTCAATCATTGATGCATGCATTCTCTCAATAGGTATGTTTATCTCTATGAAATGGCAGTGTGTACAATGGACAGAATTAGAATTTGACCTGGTACTCCAAGAAGATTTGTACATGACTCTAGCAAAGAAAATATCTGAGTATAAGTTAACCTGATGAGTCTCATTCCAACCCCCAAATCAAATGAACAGGTAGTGGCTCCAACTTGAATGAGAATAATTGGTTATAGGAGATGTAAACAAGAAGGTTTTTCTCTAGGTATTTGAAAAAGAGAAAATGTTCAATACAGAAAGCCTCTTGAGGATTCACAAAAAAAATAAAATAAAATAATGGCTGGAAAGCTTGACTTGTGACAGTGAAAAACAGAAATAAAATCCAGGAGTTTGGAGTGAGCACTTTGACATCAGCTGGAAGACAAGCCTCATTTTTTCACCTGTGACATACTTGCAAAAACCTCTGTGATGCCCTCCTGATAACGTCTTCAGAGTTGTCAACTCTGGGGTCCTGACCCCAACTGGGGTCAGGATTAAAATCACAGAAGTGGTAAAAATATCTTGGAGTAATAAAATCTAAGGAAAAGGAAGTCTGAGGAAACAACCCTGGGAAATTTAGCAGTATTTAAGGAAAAGACAAAAGAAAGATCTATTATTAAGGCTGTAGAAGCATAGCCACTAAGGCAAAAAGGACCCCCAGGAAAATGCAGTGACCTCATTAGTTTTGCTCAGGCCTATGACCTCAGAGCCAGGAATAATATTTGGCACAGTGGCATTTAAGAATATCTGCTGAATATATGAGTGAATTGCATTTAATCATAGTTATAGACCCCAGACCTTTAATATCAGGCACATATTGTAATCCCAATATATGACCTCCCTCAAGTTAGATGTAAAGTCATGTAGCCATGTTGGCATATATTAAAAGAGATGACAAACTAGTGGAGTTCTTATTAATCTGGTATTTATTCTTGATATTAGGACTTCATACAAATCTAGACATAGTGATAAAAACTTCTTTTTCTAGATAAGATGTAACAACTTTAAGACATAGTTTTTTAATTTAAAGATGTGGAAGCAGGCTCTCAAGTTAAGGCTCTTTTTATGAAAGCAAATAAATTCAGAGACCCCAGGGGAATATCTAGGTTTCCAAGCTAGCCTTCTCTTTAGCAACAATAGTAATAATGTATTAAATGCTTCCTATGTGCCCCCAAATTTTCTTTATTATATTTTTCTCAGAATCCTTTCCACTGCCCTGCATGCTTCTCACAATATCCTTCTTCAACTCAACTTATATAATCAAAGGAACATAGAAAGACTACTCTAATGCGGGGAACTCTATTAGTGGCTAGAATAGCTTTTGTTTTTAATTTTTTATTTTTAATTATATGATTCTTTTTTAAAATTTATTTTTAGAAGTGGGAAAGGGAGGGAGAAAGAGAGGGAGAGAAATATCTCCCCCTCTTTCAGTCAGCACACTGAGCCACACCAGCCAGGGCTTTTTTCTATATTTCTTAAGTCACCCTTGAGTGTTCTTACACTAAAACTAATGAGCAAATGTTAAATAATTATTTTTGGAAAAGTATATTTGAATAATTTTTTCTCTCCCAAGGAGAATTCTTCCAGGGCTATGATTTAAATGTGCTTGTAACCAGACCACGAAGAATATAGATAGACTTCCCCAACTATAAAGCTTCACATTCATCATAATCACAGTAACATGCTTTGGGTATTATTAGCTACTTTTTATAGATAAGAAAATTGAGGCTAAGAGTAAAAAATCAAGGCTCAGCAGAATCATATTACTTTCTTCTCTCTGACTTTAAATCATATGCTTTGTCACTCCTTATTTAAAAAGAACTTCAACTTTTTTAAAATGTGGAATGAATACATGTCCATGACTTTATAACTATATTCTATATTTTAATGACTTTCTGAACAATACTGAAATTGTTTTCAAATTAATAAAATATATGAATATATATAATATCTGAACGTGTTGAATATACTAATGAAGTTATCAACTTTCTTTAAAGGTGTTCAGAAAATGCTTCAATGTACTAAAATACTGACCTCATACAAAGAAGAATTCCTGGATCTGGAAAGGAAGTTCATTTGATCCTGCCCCCCTGCTTTTGAAGAGTCATCTCAGACAATAGTAGAGAGTCTTTTAAAGCCAGAGGAGAAGGTGCTAAGGCTGGGGAAACAGTCTCTCATCAGTCTTGCCCTCTGAAACCATCTCCAAAGATATTCCCTTTTTTGCCAGGAGAACTCATAGGGAGTTCTCTGGAATGGAGAGCTATCAGATTTGAGAAAAAGAGCCTTTATAAAGAGCCCAGAAGCTTCCTGGTGAGAGACATTTACCCACTAGAAACAAATTCCTAGGAGAGAACTCTAGAACAGGGCTGTGCCCTGCTAATCCTCTGAACAGCTGTAAGTCAAAGCTTTGAATAGTGCAAAATAAGAGATAAGTGGCATTAATGAATCTCCCATCATTCATGTGATCATGAGATGGGAATCTCTCATCAAATGATGAGTTTGCTCCCATCATTTGCCAGTAGTACAGCATTCATAAGGCATAGGACCCAGATGTCAAAGCAGTTCCTGAGTAACTATATTCACTAAGACTAGTGCAATATTATGTGGTTCAGAGCCCAAGGCCTTTCCTCGGCATTATGGATATCTTGGGGGTTGTTACTAACTTATGCACAGACATAACAAAGGATAACTTGAAAAGAAGCAACAAGCATACAAAAACATGCTCCACATTACATGTCATTAGAAAATGCAAATTAAAGTAACAATGAGATACCACTACACACCTATTGGAATGGCCAAAATCCAGGGCACTAAGAGTACCAAATGCTGGTGAGGATGGGGAGCCACAGAAACTCTCATTCATTGCTGGTGGAAATGTAAAATGGTATAGCCACTTTGGAAGAAAGTTTGGTGGTTCCTTACAAAACTAATCACACTCTGACCACACAGTCCAGCAATTCACTTCTTAGTATACACCCACACAAGTTGAAAACTTGTGTCTACACAAAAATTGCACATGGGTGTTTATAGCAGCTTTATCCATAATTGCCAAAACTTCAAAGCAACCAATACAGGGTCCAGTAGAAGTAACACCTGCTTGAGTGAGGTTGGTAGGGTACTAATACAAGTGTAATAATTTATAGTTTTAATTTGAACATCTTTCTTAAAAATGCCATAGGGTGCTGCTTGATATGATATTGTTATGTTACAGAATTACATACGTAGGATTTTATAATAAAAGATTTTGTAGTAATAAAAGATTTTATAATAGAAAGATTTCTGATGTTATTTGTCCCAGACCCTGTATATTTTTCAGTAGGTTAATGAATAAATAAACTTTTATACATCCAGACAATAAAGTGTTTCCTGCCCTAAAGAGAAATTAGCCATCAATTATAAAAAATATATGAAATAATCTTAAATGCACGTTGCTAAGTGAAAGAAGCGATATAATTCCAACTATATGACATTCTGGAAAATGCAAAACTCTGGAGACAGTAAAAAGATCAGCAGTTGCTAGGGGCTGGAGGGAAGTCGGATTTAATAAGGGAGCACTGGGGATTTTTTAAGGCAGGGAGAACAATGTGTATGATAGTATAATGGTGGATATATGTCATTGTACATTTGACCATACCCATGTAAAGCACAAGACCAAGAGTGAACTCTAAAGTAAACTACGGACTTTGAATAATGGTGATGGACCAATGTAGGTTCATCAGTTGTAACATGAACCATGCTGGTGGGCGATGTTGACAATGGGGGAGGCTATACATGTGTGGGGGTCAGGTGTTGTATGGTCAATCTACACACTTTTCACTCAATTTTCTGTGAACATAAAACATCTTTAAAGAATAAAGTCTATTTTTTAAAGTGACTAAAGAAAACTACAAAACTGTTTCTCAATCTCTTATGTATCCATCAAAAGTTTACCAAGGCACTAGGCTGTTCTGATAGGTGGCCTAACACTAAAACCAGTACATTTACCTCTGCGGTGGAGACAATTAAGCATGTTTAACAGAGTTTATGCCAAAACAGTGGAAATTCATAAATGGCTTTTAGCCTTTGCCTATTAATATAGTCTTCAAAATTAGTGGTGAACTGAGAGGGTTGTTAAGTTTTAAGAATAATAACTAATTAAACATACTTCTTGACATGCAAAGCTGTGCCAAGATTTACATTGCCTTGCAAAGATCTGCTATATGGAAAGGGGGCAGGGGGTGAAGTAACTATTTCCATTAGCATTGCTGTAAAGCAGACACCTTAATTGTTCTGTTTAGTTTTTTCTCCTTTTAAAAGATTCTAGATCCCTGGGTGAGCCTGGAAAGACACATTCCTTTCCAGAAATTCATCAAGAACCTAACAAAATATACCATTGGTTTTATATAGCTTCTGGACAAATAGAAACAGTCTTTCCCACAGAAAGCCCTTTTGGGAATGGGGGAGACATTTACATAGCCTGGAATGACTTTGCCATGAAATGAATGAGACTCAGTGGGAAAAATCACAATTCATATAGAAGCTCCCAAGATACAAAAGCAAAGGAGATGCCCAGGCTGTTACAGAGATGCAAATGTGAAAATCTTGCTGCTTATGCTGAGGACTCCAATCTGAATAGTGCTGGTCCCTGAGCAGGGCTGCAGGAAGCGGTGCAGTTAGCAGAACCTCAGACTCTTTTCCAGAGCAAACCCAAGGGATTTAAATCATTCACCACTCCAGGCCTAATTATCAGTGGAAACAGAGACAAGAGGCATAATGAATAGCTAAGTGTTTTCTAGTTGGCTTGTCCCAGGCCCTGAATATTTTGAACACTTTCCGTGCATTCACTTACCCAATTGGAGCTGACATAGCATTGGTTACACTCATAGTATCTGGAACCAGACAGCCAGGGTCCAACTGCTTCACCACTTAATGTGTGACCTTGTGCTAACTATGTAACCACCCCACCTCCATTTCTTCACTTTTTACATAGGGAAAATAATTATATCTAGTTCACAGATTTATTTTCTATAATAAATAAAATGACCCAATATTAATTTGTGGAAAAGTCTTAGAATAGTACATTCTGCACGCATTCAAAATGTATTATTATTTGTCACACTATTATGGTTTTTCATTAATATAGCAGTTTAATAAGCTTTCATTTAGTGCCAAGTATGTGTCAGATACTGCACTCCAGACATGAGATGTAAAGTTGTAGTCTCTACCTTCAAGTTCACACTTCTGATAGATAAGGCAACTGTTGCAAGAAGACAGATCTGATTCGGACTTTGCTCTGTTTCTGATCTTTTGCTTCCTAGTTCCCTGAGGAATCTGGCCTTGCAGCCCCTCTGGCCCTATCCTGAGAGCACTGTCTTTCCACCTTCTCTGCTTCAACCCTACTGAACTTACCTTCAGTTCTCTGAATATGGCAGGCTTTGCTCACCTCTGAGCTTTGTCTCAATCTGTTCATCGTGGTAGTATTAAGGTGTTTATTGATTCCTTGGTTCTGCCCCAAAGGTAACTCAAAAGACATTCTACTGACATAAAATTTACATTTGTATAACAATTGAAATTGTTTTTTCCTAAGTTTTCTGATTTCAAATTGAAGCTACATTAATGTTAATTGAACATTGTCGGAGTTTTTTTAATTTTGCTTTTTGTTTTGTTTTTTTGTGTTTGTTTTCACTTGCCCTGCTCCATGGTTTCCCAATATGGTGCTGAGTTTGCTGATGGGTTGAGACACCACAGCAGCTGCCTGTGCCTATAACATTTTCTTGACCTTCTAACAGTCTGTTCACAGTACCCTCCTACTCTCCTCCCCTCCTCCCTAGCTCCCCCGGAAATAGTTTCTCACCATTTGTTTCTATATAGAAGATCTTTGCAAGGCAATGTAATTCTTGGCACAGTTCTTTATGCCAAGAAGTATGCTTAATTAGTTATTATTTTTTATTTACTTAGATCTCCTTTCAGGAACTATATTTCATTAGCTTCCCTTGACCACCTGGGGCTAGGTTTTTCCAACACTTATGTGATGATCTATATGAATTCTTCCCAAACATGATTGTCACAAGAGTCCCTTAGGTATCTTTCAAAAATACAGAATATGATTCAGTACATCTAATATATTGCATTTCCAACAAGCATTCTAACAAGCACACTTATGCTACTAGTCCTTCAATAGCAAAGATCTCTACTAATTTCCATTTTAGAGTAACTATAACACAGTATTGTAATTTCTCATATACTCAACTATGTCCTCCCCTAGACTTTGTAAACCTGGGACAACGTCTATTGCATTCACTGTTTTAACCTCAGATCTTGTTTAATAACAGATATGTGGTATGCATGCAATATTTTTGTAATAATGAATGATGAATAAAGAATGTTGATGGGAGAATTATAAGATGTAGTAGGAGCAGAGAGGAATTAGATAAATAGGAATGATAAGAATAGCCAGAGAAGTTAAATGAAAGAGGTAAGAAGGAGTTGCATTTCCTTGTCCACTGAAATTGAATGGTTGGTATTAAATGGCCTGATGTAGGCGATGTTATTAAAAAACAGAACTAGTAATCATTAAAACCAAGTCATCAAAAATTTAAAATTAAGATTGGGTTATATGTAGGATATCAGCTAGTTTGACTCTATTTTAAAAACGTGGAGACAGAGACATAAGAACAGAAGGGATAAACAGCCTAAAAGGTGTTCTCCCCATCACCATTCATTCTAAACTGTTGGTAATCCTACAAATTGCCTTTCTCTTTTACTTTATCCACTTCACAGCAGTTAGAACAACACATTATGAAAAAAATCAAAGTTGTATGAGAATTAGGTAGTATTTGCCTAACTTTAATAATAATTTTAACTAACATTTACCATTTCCTTTGAGCAGTAAATGGTTCTAAGTGCTTTTTTGCATCGATTCACACATCTTATACTGAAAGAACATTATACAGTAGTTACTTCTAATATCAATGAGAAAATTGAAACACGAAATGCTAAATAGCATGCTTAAACAGCTGGTAAGTGGCAAAGCCATATTTCACATCCATGCATACTGACTCCAGGGTCCCTCACACTCTTAAGTTCATGGTATATTG